AGAGAACGTGCGTACTATGGCAATGCTCTAGGATATGAACGTGGAACATACACGTTTATGGGAGGTATGCTATCTATTCCCTTAATGCTTCATGCATTTTTTAGTCTACTTTATTTACACTCGAAATAAGGTTCGGGATACACGCTCTCCCGCGACCTCGTTATAGACATTGCTGAATCCGACTGGGCTGTTTCAAATGTCGTAGGAAATGAAGACTGGCTAGTGGGTGAGTGGGCATGTCATGTGGCTAGGGAGAAGAAGTACTTCGTGCACTATGTCGGCTTTACAAGTTGGGTGCCCATCCGCCAAAATCCGATTCATGACTTTGACGAAAATCTGGACCTTCACATCTTTGGCGAGACCATCATGATCCATCAAGTAAAGGGCATCGAGAAGTTGAATGCCATTAAGAATGTATACTCCGAATACGAAGAGGGATTTCCAGTGGTAAGAGTCATTCGAAATTCAACAGCCACAGGACTAGCTACAAAGAGGGAAATTATTCCAAAATGCTGGACCACACATGAGAAAGAGCAGTTCTGGGATCAATTGCAAAGTACCTACAAGAACTGGTTCTATGAAGCTTGGGATTTTAAGGAGGGGAAGTGGTACGAGTATTATGGGACTGTGGATAATATAGGGATTGGATAGAACCTTTTTTATTACAGGCAGACCTCGCTAAGTGTACACTCCATAATTTCACGACTATGCAAATTACCTCAAAATACACGGCATAGTTTGGCCCAATTTATAAAAGTACATATTCTGCTCTCTATAAATTCACACCTTATTAAATGACATCTACTTTTTTTTTTTTTTTTTTTTTTACTATATTCCCAAGTTGGTACACTTAGAGAGGTTTGACCGTACACATTTATTACATAATTTGAAATTCAAAAATGGTACTAAAGCGTACCTATACAGTTGAAGAAGGATGTTTGGACTTAAACATAATTCATGTATATTTATGAAAAGATAAATATTAAGCATTTAATTATTATAATGCTTTTGCTCATCCGAAGAAGTTTATTTGATAAATATAATTAAAAATAAAGAACATTTAATGGAAAAAAGCTGTTCTGTCAATTGTGTAGTATATTTTATTTATGTAGAGCATTTATGCATTTAAAGACTCATTTTTCATCTTCAATAAAGTTTTTTCAGACTTTTTTTTCAATTAAATTTGATTGTCTTATATACTTGAATCAAAAAGCTGATTAAAGCCAAATGTAAACTATCGAATTCTCATGCTTCTTGTTAATATTAAGTGCTGTTTATTGAGTTTTATTTTTTATTGTTCTATTCTCTTTATCATTTCATTACATTATCATGAACGCATCTTTATTATTTCGTTAATATCCCATTAATACATCTTCACGCTTTCATACATAACCCATTGTTCAATTTGTTATCTTCCCATCACGCCTTAAATCAATCCCATTGTTAGATTCAACATACAATTGCCTATTGTGAGGCTCAGAAATCGTTACTCCGAACATGATGATCTCTTACCTAAAATGGATATATTGGATATATTAAAAAAATTAGATATATCCACAATAATAATTAAAACCAATGTAATAGTTATGAGGGATAAAATAGGTTTATTTGTTGTAATCAGTTTAATTATTTTATTAGAAATAATATATATACGAGATATAATGATTTTAATAAGTACTAAGTAAAGGTTTATTATAAATAAAGGCGTTTTCGCCCCCAAGAGAAAGGAGTTTTTTTCTCGTTTGCTTCACTAATA